TGCCAAGGCCCCGTGGCGTGCCCCCGACCGAAGTGCAGCGCCTGCCTCGTGAACCCCAGCAGACGGCGGCCGACGAACACGCCCGAAAACCTCGAACCACGAACCCTTTTGCCCCCCCCCCTCCCTGGCGTGCCCCCGACAGACCCACACGTCTGGCCCGGCCGCTCCAATGTTTTCGATGCGTGGGCCCCCGAGGTCTGGACCTCTTCCCCAGGGCCGGTTTCTCGTCCCGAATCGTTTCCCGACGGTCCGGAGGCCCGAAACCGGTCCCAATCTGGCTGCCCTCCCACGTCCTCCTCCTCCTGCTCCTGCTCCTGCTCCTGCTCCTGCTCCTCCTCCTCCTCCTCCTCCTCCTCCTCCTCCTCCTCCTGGCCGCCCTCATTTTGTTGGAGACGCGGACCTCTGGGGGAGCGAGCGCCCGCCTCGTGAGCCCCAGCTGACGCCGGGAGGCCTCCGCCACCAAGGGCCCGCCGCCCTCCCTCGGCCCTCAGAGGAAGGCCCGGCGCCCCCCTTTGAGCAGGGGCCGACCGTCCCGGCATTCCTATTGGCCTACCACGACATGCTCTTAGAGCCTCAGGATCAAAAACCAGTTTCTTAGGACATGAGCCCGCTGTGTCAAAAGAGGGCAGTCTCAGCCAGAACCGTTTTATGAACACTTCGTGCAGACCGCAAAAGGCTCTTAGAACATTCTTTGGTGGGCCTATAGGCAAGCCAGGACGCTTCGCCGGTGCTTGACTGGCGCCTCCCGCGCCCTTCTTCAGGGCCAGCCGTCCTGCGGAAGGGGAGGAGGAGGAGGAGGAGGAGGAGGAGGAGGAGGAGGAGGAGGAGGAGGAGGAGGAGGAGGAGGAGGGGCGAGCAGTTGAAGGAGTATGCGAAGAGTCGAGAGGAGGAGGAGGAGGAGGAGGAGGAGGAGGAGGAGGAGGAGGAGGAGGAGGAGGAGCAGCAGCAGCAGCAGCAGGAGGAGGAGGAGGAGGAGGAGCAGGAGGGGGAGGACGTGGGAGGCGAGGGGCTCGCCGTCGCTCGGCCGTCCATCCTTCGGCTTCGTGCGCTCCTGTTTCGCCAGGTGCTCCGAGGTGCTCCTCGATGGTCCTCGCCGAGAAGATACGCACACGTCCGAGCGACGGCAAGAGTCCCCCGGGGGAGACGAGCGGAGGGCAGGGCGGAGACCAAGCCAACAAGTTCCCGAGAGGAGCGGAGAGACCTTCGAGGCCTCCCGTATGGGGTCGGAGCAGGAGGATCTCGCCGCATCGGCGATGCATGCCCCCCAGGCTTTTTTGGGGAAGAGGGAGGGAGAAAGGGAATGAGAGAGGGAGGGAGGAATAGATGGAGGGAGGGAGAGAGGGAGGGTTGGAGGGAGGAAGGGAGGGAGGGAGGGAGGGACGAGGGACGAGGGAGAGGAGGAAGGAGGAGGAGGAGGAGGAGAGGGAGGAGGAGGAGAGGAGGAGGAGAGGAGGAGGAGGAGGAGGAGGAGGAGGAGGAGGAGGAGGAGGAGGGAGGAGGAGGAGGAGAGGAGGAGAGGAGGAGGAGGAGGAGGAGGAGATACTAAATCGTCCATGAGATCCGGGAGATGCATTTTTTTCAATTTGGGCGTTTTCACCTGGCTTCGGGGCCCGGGACCATCACAGCCCGATCCAGCTCGAAAACAGCCGCAGGAAAATGGGTCTAGGGCCCCGGCCGTGATTTCTCGCGATGTTGCAATTGTGTCGCGACGTCTCAAAGTCTCGGTGCCAGGACCCCAGGCTGCGACAAGGTGCCATGGCAACGCCACCCCCCTCCCTCACCTCTCCTCCATTTTCTTCCAACCGTTCCTCCTCCTCCTTCTCCTCCTCCTCCTCCTCCTCCTCCTCCTCCTCCCGTCCGCTCTCCCTCCTCTTGTTCCTCCATTTATCCCCTCCCTATACCTCCATCTGCCTCCTGCACGGGCTACGCGCAAGGAGTGACTGTGAACAAACAGTGGCCCGTCGTGCTCGGCCTGCTGGTCGTTGCATGTGATCGGCAGCAACGGCCTGCGTGTTTTGGGCTGGCCCCCTCCCGCGCCCTCCCCCCAAAACCGCGACCCACAAACAACTCCGGTGACGGGCCACTCTTGCGTGCGGCCGGGTGCACACAGCCCTCGGCCCCCTTTCCCTCACTCCTCAGAGCCCCCTCCTCGCCGCCCGGCTTCTCCAGCCTTCCCTCCCCATCTCTGATTCCTCAGGACACGGCCTTCTGCCTCTACCCTGGCCTTTTCGCCAGCGGCGTACCCATCCAGCGCTCGGGTCCAACCTTCCTCCGCCTCATGTTCTTCTTCCTCCTCTTCTTCTCCTTCGTCGCCCCCCTCCCCCTCCACCACCATCCTTCCTCCAACGACCCCTTCCCTTCATCCCTCCACCCTCTCAATCTCACCTCGCTCCCCCCCGCTTCCCTCGCTCGTCGTCCCTCCCCGCCTGTCTCTGCCACCCCCCCCTCCCCGGCGCCCGGCGCCCCGTCCGAGGGGTCGGACTCGTACGCGAGGAAAAAT